TTCCACCTCCCCCCCCCATAGGCTTGCATTACCTAGAGTACTTTTAAGTATTTCTTCTCTAGATCTTTCACAAGTTGTGTGTTCTTTATCTAAAAGGGTACCAAACGCATTGTTGCCTGAATGAGCAAATGTAGGCCTCAATCCTGCAAACATCTAGTAATAAACTTTTTAAGTCGCTCCAATAACTTTAATAACACGATTAACAAGCTTAAAACTGAGCAGAGGCGCAAATGTTTGCAGTAATTGAACATTCTTAACCCAAACAGAATGGACATAAACCAAGATCAATTATATAATGTGAGTAACATCTAATTTCTGAAAAGAAGACACAAGTCAATACTGGATGGTAATTAAATGTTGTATCAAGTCATGTCTATATCCCAGGGAGACCATTTTGCTGTAATGGATTTAATTTAGGAGTTCAAGACCTCTGTCATTGTTTTATCTCCTTAAACTTGTCAGTCTATTTTAATCGGAAATTCTTTCTTCAAAAAATTGAATATGGTACCTGTTCTTTCCATTAGATATATCTGTAACAGTTCATCTTCTTTTGCTTTGCTTTCATCCATAACAATATAGAATTAAGGGAGAAAACAGGGTTTTTTTCCTCCCCCTCAGTGAAATAGGTTATCTGTACACACTTCACTTAATTTCCAAAGTTTTTTTATGTCAGCACAAAACAAGAAGGTATGAGAGGGGGTGGTTCATTCCACTTTATGATCTCTTCAAAAGTTTGGGGAGCAGGTAGTTTTTAATCAATACTGTACGTGTAGGGTTAAGAAAAATCTTTAATGATTTTTTCATTGAAGTTTTCTCCATGTGAGAGATGGTTTGTCATATGGTCACTGAAACAGATTTTTCCCCAGCTGTCTGTTATAATTTCTTTTTGAAGTTTTTGTATCCATTTGTTATAGATATAAAAAGGATTACCTTGTTGTGTTTCTCATAATAAAGTATAGCTTTTGGAAATAAACCCCCTGGGCTACTGACCTTTATGTACTTTTAGAAAATACATTTTTTTCAGTTGTGGAGGGAGAGAGGATCATGCAACCAAGCAGCTGTTTTAGACTTGCTAACAATTGAGCTACCTATTAGTACAGGAAAAAAGGACAGGAGTGAAACTTGTCTTCCCATGTCTTTTTTTCTATTACACATTTTTACATTTAACTCTGTGATAGTGGCTACTTCAAAGAAAATGAACCAAAACTTCATCTGGATTTTGAGGAAAATAATTTTTTCCCCAGGATAGATATGCTTCTTAGGTATTGTTTATGCTGTCAAATCGGGGTGAGGGGTGTATTTTTAAATCCCTTTCCTCAAAAGCCAAATAGAGAAAATTTTGGGCCAAAATTTTCTAACACAGGTGCTTAAAATTAACCTTAAGTCTATATTTATCAACCTGAATGAATTCTCTGGTTTCCAGAATTGCTCAGCCCCTTAAGGTCCACTGAAGTAAATAGGCAATCAAGAATTTTAAAAATCAAGCCATGGGTTTAGGAGCCTATCTTTAGGCACCCATTCTGTAAAAACAAATTTTAAAAACTAGTGTTCAATTTTCCCATGCCAGAAAAAATAATCCCTTAGTACACTTTTGGTCTGCTCAAATGTTAGAGGCTCCTTCTCTATGGAATCTACTCTAAGCAGTGTTTAAACTGTGTGCAAAAAACAGTCAGTTATATGATTTGATTGACTGTTAAGATAGGGCCTTAGACCTCTATAAAGCCTGTAACAAACTGTCACAGCCAGACAGGAGGCTAACCTGACTGGTACACCCCAGGCCTAGGCAGCACCTCTGCCCTCCCAGACCAGCCAGCTCCCCTCTTCCACCTGGAATTACTTGCCTCCAGCTGTCTGCACAAATGTTTGCACATGGTGGAACCTGACTCAAGTTTATGTGGCTTAAAGTAAGCCACCTAACTTGAGACAGGTCTTCTGAGTTCTTGTTTCCACCCCCAGAAAGCTTTATACTGCATCGTCTGAGGAACAAAGGGCTAGAAGTGACTTTCTGCATCACTTCACTCCATCCCCTGCTGTTGTAGGCAACCACATTGTGTGAAACCTTTCATAAAGCAAGCAAATTCTGTTTTATTAAGTAGCTAAATACTTTTTGTCCCTACTGATTCTATTGGAAGGCTGTTCCAGCATCACCACTTTGTTGTTGTAGGCTAATTTATTCATGGCTGGTCTATACCCATTTATTTTTAACCAGCAACAAAGGAATGTCAGATAAACAGTAAAGGCTTTTGTGTGATTTCAGCATTGCAATAAAGTATTTTGGGTTTTGTTCAATGTCCGATTGCCATGGACAGAAGGTGTGCCATGGCAGGTAGCAGAGGTTGGCTGTATCTGTGAGCAGCTCACTGGAACCTGTGCTGGTGACATACATTCATGATTGTTAAACCTCCGTTTTGCATCTGACACATCCCGTCCCTTTAAAGGAATCTCTGCCTTGATTTAACATCCTGAAAATGATTTTAAGAATACAGCTATGTCTTTCTTCTTTTACCCAGCAGGAGCTAAACTAAAGAAAATGTCCGTATTTCCATTTGTTTCAAATGCGTTAAGTCATTAAAAGAAGTATGAAATGTTTGTAGACATCTGAATTTCTTTATATACAAATTAAATGTTTCCTGATTTGAAAAGAGAGGAAACTAATTTGTTTTTCTCAGTTTTACTCTTTCTCCACCATAACTTGAATGATGTGAATTAATGACTCAAAAAGGTGGGAACATTTTCCTGTTGCTCTTGCTTTACCAAGCAAAATATCACTTCAGAAGTGAAATCAACCTCAAATTTTGTTGGGTAGAAGAACCTTTAGAATTCTTATACTTATGGCCGCTCACCTTGAGCTTTTCCCTTGCTGGTCCTCAGATTCACTGATGCTGTACTTTGTTTCCCTTGGCCTTTTCTCTGCCAGTGAAATGTTTTTTTCTAATCTCTACTACTCTTTCTCCTGGCAAGGTGCCTAGTCTCTCTTGCTAGGAAATCTAGATGAGTCATGGTATCTTCCTCTTTTCTCATGCTGGTTGGATGAAGCAGACATAATTGCTTTGGTCCCTTTAGTTTTGTATTGGGATTCTAGTAGCTATTCATCTATTTTCTAGCATTCCCTCTCCCCTCCCCAGGCCAGGGCATGCTAGAGACTAAAAACCCTCTCTGTTCTCCTTGGAGTACTGCCATGGTTTCATTCATTTCATATAAATGAATAAGATTAAGTGAAGCCCTTACCTTATTCCACCACCTTGATTTTTTTCCATTCCTTGATAGGCTTCTTAACTGCACTTTGTATACCTTTTCCTTGAGCACATGACCCAATTCACTCCCCTACTGAAGTCAAGAGAATGACTTCAGTGGTGCTGCATTAGATTCCAGTTGCAGAAAGCTCGTCTTTCTGGCATTGGAAGACTGGCCTAATGTCACCATAATGATCTTTTATTTTTGCTGGGACAAACTATTTTATTATATTCTGCTTGTTTTATATATTCTTGAATGCATATGGTACGATTTTTGTTTCCTTTCTTCCCTAGACACTAATATTTAGGTTCTCTCATTGAACACCGTCAAAATAAAAACAATGTGTAGGGAGAGAAATCTTTTTCTAGGATGTGGATCAGGGAAGAGGAAACACTTTTGACATTTTCGATGAAACCAAATCAAAGTATAATGGAAGCGCATTGGCCTGAACTCACATGAGTTTCCCTTGTTCTTGTTTGTGTGGCACAATTTAGTAGCATCAGCTACCTTCCATCTTACCCAGCATCTGAAATTAAATGTTCCTCTGTTGTGGATGAAAAATATCAGTTGACAAGTACACCCATTTACCTTTATAAATTCCACATAAATGAGACTCCATTATGTTTCCCTGGGGATGGAAAGAAGGTTGAGCTGATGCTAAAGGCTAAATGGACCATCTGTCTTCTTACTGACTTTCACACACTCCCATCCCTCTCTGCTGACTGAAGTTGCTAGCCTTTGGATAAATATGCAATACCCCCTCTCACTACAAATCATTACTAAATTCCACTGACAGGTCTCCATACTCCTACCACAGAAGTTGAATAAAGACCAAGCTGTTGCTTTCTCTCGCCCAAAGAAGGAAGCAAGGAGAGGTGATTTAACCATGGCATTTATAATGTCAGAGCTCCTATTGCAGTAAAAAGGAATTCTGTAAGCTTTATCATACCTTTGACTCAGGTTAGCTTTGTCTTATCACTCATCCTGGCTTGATATATCAAATCAATATTTGTCTGAACCCAAATCTGACACATTTTAAAGCAAAATATTTTCTTTGAGCCTGGTTTCTTCCAGCACTTCCTTCCCCTTAAAGGTAGAGGCAAGAGGGGATTTGCAATTCCCAGTCAATCTATTTACTGAGCCCCTTTATAGTTATAGTTTCAGTAGCTAGGAGGCATTGACTTGGAACAGCCAGCTTGGTTCTCCTAGGATGGCTGGCTGTACCCAATGTTTGCTTTGAATCACTGGTGTGTGTAAGCTCAATGGTCCTAGAATATGACCTCATTTTTTGGTGATTATTTTTTAACCTCTCCTCTTCCTCCTTTCCCAAGGGCAAATATTCTCATCAGAGAGACAAATAAACCAGGGTGACCCAGAAAACTAAATGCCATCATATTGTCAGGTCAAGTCCCTTAAGGGGGATTGTCTTTATAGGCTTTAAAGAATCAAATTGGACTTTATAGCCAGATCCTGTGCTGACGTGCATAAGCATACTCCGTTGGAATTGATACAACTACATTTATTTATACCAGCTGAGCAACTGGTTCTGTATCTCTACTATGAGTATTGTTAATTCGTTTACTGTTGATTTTTACTGTGATAATGTCTAGGAGCCCCAGTTATGGAACAGTGCTTTGTGATTCTTGCTTTTCCATATTATGTATGCAACAGTAGATGGGGTAAAGTTTGTAAATTCTAATGTCTTTGATTTATAATTTAAACTACAAATGTTTTAACCAGTGTGTATGTCTCCCTTTTGACATCAGGCGAAACCCTCTTCACTTCCACCTCATCGCAGATGCTATTGCGAAACAGATTCTGGCAACCCTCTTCCAAACCTGGATGGTCCCTGCTGTGCGCATAGACTTCTATGATGCAGATGAACTCAAGGTAAAAACAGGCCAAACAGATATGTACTCAAGCTGTTCTGGTTTCTCTTTCTTGATTTATCTGGTGATTTGGATTTCGTCATATGGATGAAAGAATTTCAGTTTCTCTGAATAGGGTATCAGCTCAACTTAACCAGAGCTGCTTGCTGTAGTGCACAAATCATTGCAGATACCACATTGCTAGTGCCACATATAGTCCAGAAGCTCTAAAATTCTCCTTGCTGTGCAGGAGATTCCATGCCCTTAAGGATAAATCACATTATTTTCCTGTTTAAAAAAAAAAAATTCCTTTTTCAGGGAAGATACAGTCTTAAACCTCTTGTACTGTAAATACCTATCATTTGGTAGAAGTACTCAGTCTTTCAGGCTTCCAAAGGCATATATGTAAACCACTGTAAGTACAACACACTCTGCCCCATATCAATATTAGTTTTTAAAGAAAAAAAGTAGCTGCCTTGTTTGGATACCTTTTCTAAAGGATTAGTTTTGAAGCAATGAGGGATCTATCAGTATAAAAAGCATCGCTCACTCTAAGCATTAAAGTAATTATCTTTTTGAAGAGTTATGAAGTTTAAGTTAGATCACAAAGGCTTAGTGTTGAGTTTCTGGGCTACACGTTTTCCAGGTGTGGACATTGATCTTGCTATTCAAAACTAAGCAGTTGGAGATGGTAGCAGTAATTTATATAGCCAGTCAGCCTTTCCAGTGCTCAACTTGATCAACATCGCATAGGAAGGGAAAAACAAAATTTAGCAAACTGCTATGCTAATTAAGGTAAAATCAAAGCATGCCACTTGCTAGGATCTTAAGAGTAAAATGTTGTGGAAAGAGATGACAAAAGGAAAAGATGATCTTTGAGATTTGGTTCATCACTGTTTTTATTTAATATTCTTTCAACATTTAGCAACAATCAGATACTAACCTAGGTAGAGAGCTACGATCCTTCTGGTCATTAAATGCACACAGTCAGAAAGCCATTGATGTGTCTATTGTATGTGCTACACTGTAGATGGTAGGGCAAAAACAGTACAAAATTAGCATTTCCATTCAGGTAGGATTGTCTTTTGTCTTTTTCTTATGCTCTTTTAGGTCTGGGTGACACTACTTACCTAAAGAGAAACCAAGGGAGCTTATTAGGTGTCGTTAATGTTATGTGTAGAAACTGTATCTTCCTTGTCCTGCTATTTCTGCTTGTAGTATGCCTTACTACACAACAAGCAGTTCCACAGACTTCAGTAGCCACATCACCGTGTAGGAGATAATTCTCAATGTGGGTGAATGTGACAGAACTAAGCCACATGACAGCAAAGAGTTATTGATAGTAGTAGAGTTTTAAGGAGCATTATATCACAGGTGGGTATGATCTTATTTAGACTATTCTCAAAATTTCAGCTGGGTTTGCAGAGAAGCAGTTTACAGTTGGATGTAACAGAATAGCTTAGCTGCTTCTGAAATTATCTGTTTGGTTTGGATTTAATTTTTTGCATGCATTCAACATATTTTATTATTCAGTGTTGGGAAAATTCACGTGGGCATCGGAGTAATTTCTTAGAAATCTTGCTAGCAACAAAAATGGACCTGTAAATAGGTTGATTTAATTTAGATTGTTTCAGAACTAATTATCTTCTATCATTCTGTTCTAATTGTAGAATCCTTATGAAGTCAGCACAGAAATTTAAAAATATTCAGTCTGTACTAAATTACAATTAACTGGATTGTTGCTTTTCATTTGCCTTTTATTTACCTGTGTTTCATAGATTTGGGGCACCATCTTAACAGCTCAAAAAATAAAGCTGTCCTCTATCAGTTCTGAAATCATGAGCTTCCATACCCGTTGTTCCTTATGGAGCAAGAGTCAGCAAGTCTGCCTTTTATTTACTTCATCAAAGATGCTAGCCTAAGGCTTTCAGAAAGCTGTGGGAATACTCATTGGTTCTTGACTGCTCCTGCTCAGCCAACAGAAAGGAATACAAAAGGTTGTTTTGCCTAGGTCCTACATAAATAATGTCCTTTGAGAAAAACATTCTCAGCAAGAGAGTGTTTGTCTTTTTTCAAATAGCTGTTTAGAATTCAGAGGATACTTTTCACTAGATTATATATATAAGAAAGGTAGAAATTGGAGGCTAAAATATTTGGCAGTGTTCCATAACATCTCCTACAGTTCCTAAAATATACTGTCATTTTCCTTGGAGTTACAGCAGGTAGTAGGGTTGTGTGCTGCTTTGGGTGCTGATTCAATTCAGAGGAGATTCGGCAACCAAATCTTTAAATCTGAATTGAATCAGGAGACCAGTAAAAAGGTCTGAATTGATTCAAAGCTCTCTAAATCAATTCTGAAGCTCTCTGAATCTTTTCCGAGATTTGGATAGTACCCACTCGCTGCCGCAGGGCTCTGGACCCCAACTCCATGCTGGTAAGTAGGGGGCTGGGGAGGGCAGCGCTGAAGGAGGGAGGACTGGGGGGGACCCAGGCCACAAGCCCCCAGAAGTCCCAAGGCTGTTGCAGCAGCTGGTGAGTGTGGGGCTTTTTTTTTTTTTTTTAAG